TCCCAAGAGGCTCGTTTTCGCGGAGGACTGCACCTTGAAGCCAGCCAGCAGTTTTCTAATATGGCGAGTTTTATATGGCTTTTTTGGTTGCAGTCGCTGTTCTTCCGTGTTTCTGTGCACACCCGATCCGCCAGCGATTAGCGTGGACAACTGGATGTACGAGGGATTTTCTGGATGGCTGCAGTCATGTTTGTGGCTTTGGTTTTCGGGGTACTGGGCGATGGTTGGGTTCACAAGCAGAGAGGCCGCTTTTGACGGAGTGGAGCTGGAGACTGGCTTCACTTCTTGTCTCCGCACATCTGACTCAGTCCAGTTCAGAGTGATTGATTTTGTTGAACCGTGACCCAAGCTTGGTCTACGGATCTGGACCCATGGAATAGCAGGCATGGAATAGCAGTGTGCTTTAATGACAGTAGTCCAGTTCAGAGGCTGTGATTTTGTTGAACCGTGACCCAAGCTTGGTCTACGGATCTGGACCCATGGAATAGCAGGCATGGAATAGCAGTGTGCTTCGGGTAATGACAGTGAGACACCGTCGATCGAAATAGGGTCCCAATTTCAGGGACCTTAATCAGGTGAGAACACACCTGGAGGTGGGTCAGTATCTTGTAGACCCCCTTGAGCTGTCGTGGCAGACAGCGAACTGCCTATTTAGCCTTTCCCATATTAAGCACATCCAGCTCCGCAGCACCGGGGCCATATCTCGCACCTCCCAAGGAAATCACAGTCCGTCGTTCCCCCTGTCGCACGAGCGCCTCCGGCAGTCTCGTTATCAGCACGTCCAGCGTTTGGTTCACCACGAACAACCGGGGTAGAAAAGAGGCTCATCTGTTTTCTATCATTCACGAGGTCGCGTACCCTGGCCAAGTTCATTCTCAGTCATGGGATTCGACCGGTCATGCAACGTTCCAAGAAGGCATTCGGGGTGCTTAAGTGTTCCGTCGTGTGAGATCCAATCGAAGGTCAAACGCCGATGACATTGATTCAGGCCGTCAGGCTTGCACAGCGGTTCTTCCCAGCCATCAGGGAATCGCGTCCGTCTGGTTTCCGCGGTACACCGTCATTGGTCGGAAAGATCTTCTGGGTGAGGGTGGAGAAAAGAGACAAGGCACGCGCAGTATCTGTTCACAAAAAACATGTGTATACTACCAACCAAAAAGAGCTAAAAACAAAACGAGATTCAGGCCCAAGAGGGGTCCTACAGGACCAGCTAAGTTCCTCGCATGTAGACATCATAGCAGGCTAAGGAGCCCCGAGTCACAAGCAGGCAGAGAAACGACAATTCATCCGTGGTACGGCCCAAGGATCTCAGACCTTTACCGGAGCGCTCACACAGCAGCTCCTTATCCGCAAACACCACCGGGAGATGCCTGACGTCCCCGAGAGATCGTCCGAAGAGATTCGACTGTATATAGGTCTCTACCTCCCTCAAACCATACTTCGTCGTCTTGAGAGTCCAGCTCTCGGCCAACCGTTGACCTCGAACCACAGTCACATCAAGAACGACTAAGTCCCGTTTGCAGAAATTTCCACCTACCGGAATAATCGGCTCGGTCATGACTTCATAACCTCTTCGGGACAATCGCCCAGCTAGGTTTTGCACCATCCGGTTGTGTCTGGCACATCGGGCGGCGTGTGTAACCTGACATCTCTGCAAGATGTGGTTAAGGGTTCCATCTGCGCCACAACGCCCCCGACACAGCAAGTCGTCACTGGCCACCGATCGACCCCTCGCATTTCTTATCTTGGAGCACAGGACACCCGCACGGAGTTGAATACCCCGTATGAAAAGCCGTGGCAGGACAGTCCCTGGGTTCGCCAGCCAGTCAAAACTTGCACGGTCAGCAGAGTCTATGACTAGCTCTCTCCCGTCCGCAGTTGATTTCAAGTCTGCTCGCCAAGCCTTTGACGCCTCGTCTGCCGAACTTGCCAGTGTCTCTTTAGCACGCACAGGAATATACGCAAATTTTTGGTCTGAAACCACATTCTTAGCCTTGAGAAGGCTACGTACCACCGGGTCAGGAGAGCTTGCAATAAGCTTAAACTTCTTTCTTTGAAGGAGCGGGATTGTTGTCGCGAATGACGTTAGTCTGAGCCCGCCATCTCTAACTTTCGAATAAATGAAACCCAAGAGGGTGCCCTTGGGCAACCGCAGGCATGCTCTCACCGCGTGGCGGGCCGCCAAGTCCAACGCTTTCAGGGTGTTCCTGTGCACACTGCCGAGAACCAGTTCGTACTGCAGGCGCGGGGTCGCAAACTCTTTGAGTATCACTGGCTCCTGGTAGGGCTACAGCGGTGCCTCGGATATATTAACTTGCATTTCCTGAAAAGTCTTCCAGCGTTCATTCTCAATCTACCTTTCCAGTTGAACCGCAGACCGAGATATTTCACTGCGTCCGTGAGTCCCAGACACTTAACTTCCTCAGATCCAACCTGGAGTGACCCAGGCACAATAGCTAGCGTTTTATGCTTTCCCGACTTCTCCACATTCATAGCTGCGCCTTTAGCGCCATTCAAGTCCATACCTGCAGCTGTTAGGGCTGAAGCTAACCCTTTCAATTTCTCCTCCAGCCTGGAACTCCAGGAAAGCTAAGTCGTCGGCGTACGCCAGCGCCTTAATTCTTGTGCCTTCCAAGTTGTAGCCGAACTCTGGACGGCATTGTTTCACCACCTCATCCATTGCCATCATAAACAGCAGGGGAGATAGGGGATCACCCTGCCGTACGCCACGCTTGGGCTTTACATCCTCGCCGTTCAGGTTGACGACACCATCGGAGTATAAGCGTCTCAGATATTGCGCAGGGGGCATAGGAGCACCGTGTGCCTGGGCCACCCGTAGGATTGTATCCTGAGAAACCATATCAGAAGCTTTGGAGATATCCAAAAAGACAGCCGCTATCGGCCGAACCCATGTACCGAGTGCAATATGGCGTTCAGCAGACTTGAGGCTTCAAGACATCCGTCGCGCTCTTGAAAAACGAATTGGATATTCTCTGGTTTTGCCACCCTCCGCCAACGACGGAAGAGCAGCTTATGCAGCAACCTCAGGACTACCGAAGAAATAGCAATTGGTCGGTAGTCTCCCGGGGACGCTGGAGACACTGTTTTAGGAATCAGTGAGATCCTAGCCCTCGAGAGGGTTCTGGGTGGAATCTCAGTTACCAAAAATGAATTCAACGACTGGGCTAGAATGCATGGTTTCCACGTGAGCAGTTCTCGGGCATCCTCTTTATCCATCCCAGGTGAAGGCCACACCGACTCCTTCAATGCCCCAGTTACCTCGGCACTGGATATTGGGCTCAGTATGCTCCATTCCTGGATGGTGGTTGGCACCGGTCGCGCGTCATGCTGAGCTTCAGCTCCAAGGAACCATTTCCAATATTCCATCATATCTTGGGGCTTGGCCTCGGCACATTTCCAGAGTTCCTTCCACTGTCCATCAAGAACACGCTTTGCCGCCTTCTTCTGCTTACGTTTGAACAGGCTTTGTAGTCAGGCATAATTCGCTCCACGTTGTTCCTTCTGAGATTTTGGAACTCCCTCCCGCACTGCTCCATTTTGGAGAGTCCAGACATCAGGAAACATCCGTTCGACCACACGGGTCAGGCGCGCCCTGGTCTGAACCACATTCAACGTACCAGAGAGCGTCCCTTCCGCGATAACGCCGTGCGCTTGGTCTTCCGGCTGCCTCTCGGCTTGCCGCGCACCATCCGCGATGCACACCAGCAGGGAATTTCGCCAGTTAGCAAAGTCAGAGTTCTCTGCAGATCGGCCGTCCACCACTCCCTCATCATCCGTAGTGCATTCACACTCCGGAATCTTCGGAAGCAGTTTAAGTCGTCGCTCCGCACCAGTTTTATACTTTGATACACCAAACCACTGCATCTTAATCAGACGCTTTTAACAGCCTCTGCTGACCGGCTAGCAAACTTCACTGCCAGTGCAGCATACAACTCGGATTTCCTCGGGATTGAGCTGGCCATTTCATCAGCCAACTGCACATGTTTCAACGACTCGAAATCATTTCATTCACCTTTCCTGCGAGGAAGCATTTTCAGTCCCTCATCATTCATAATCATAGTTACTCCCGCCGTTTACCCGCGCTTCATTGAATTTCTTCACATTGACATTCAGAGCACTGGGCAGAAATCACATTGCGTCAAAACCGGTCAGCGGACATCGCAATGCTTGGTTTTAATTAGACAGTCGGATTCCCCTGGTCCGTGCCAGTTCTGAGCTAGCCGTTGAGCGCCAAACGAAGGAAGCAAAGCCGTCGACACGCACACAGTTGCCCGTGCACGCTGCCAGCAAAGCAGCACTACAGCTGAAATCGCCCACGATCGGCCTGGTCAGAGTCCAGTAATCCCATCAACCACATCCACCGAGGCGGACGCAGCAACAGAAAAACCAGCCTCCAACTGGACCAACACGTATCTGACTCCAGCCCATTTGACTCGGCCCTCAGAGCCAATCCTTTTCCCGAAGTTACGGATCCAGTTTGCCGACTTCCCTTACCTACATTGTTCAATTGCCAGAGGCTGTTCACCTTGGAGACCTGATGCGGATATGGGTACGGCCTGCCACGAAAATTATATTGCCTCGCTCGGATTTTCAAGGGCCGACAAGAGCGTTCCGGACACCACAAGAAATGTGGTGCTTTACGGAGGCTAGTCCCCTATCTCCGGACAACCCGATTCCAGGGGATGATGCACTCCTAATAAAGAAAAGAGAACTCTTCCCAGAACTCTTGCCGACGTCTCCGAGGTCGGTTGCGTTACCGCGCCAGATGCAAACCGGTGCGAGACCAGAATGCACCAATCTCCGTGGGCAGGGTCGGGAATATTAACCCGATTCCCTTTCGCTACAGGGGGCTGCCTTGCAACAGTACATCAGCAGCAATCCTGACAATGTCAGGCACCCCGTCTCCGTTCCGAGTTAACGGATCACTTAGGACCGCCTGACCCATGGCCAACTGCTGTTCCCATGGAACCCTTCTCCACCTCGGCCTTCAAGGTTCTCACTTGAATATTTGCTACTACCACCAAGATCTGCACCCGTGGCGGCTCCACTCAGGCTCACGCCCGAAGCTTCCTGCTCACCACGGCGACCCTCCTACTCGTCACCACAATTCCGTGCCTGAGTCGTGTGACTTGCCCTCACACCACACATTACCGACTCAGCTTGCAGTGACGGTCCGGTATAGGTCCGACGCTCCAGCGCCATCCATTTTCAGGGCTGGTTGATTCGGCAGGTGAGTTGTTACACACTCCTTAGCGGGTTCCGACTTCCATGGCCACCGTCCTGCTGTCTAGACCAACCAACACCTTTTGTGGTATCTGATGAGCGTCGCGTTAGGCACCTTAACCGAACGTTTGGTTCATCCCACAGCGCCAGTTCTGCTTACCAAAAATGGCCCACTTGGCATTCACATTCAACGCCTGACTCCGTTTGGGCGAGTCAGGCTTCTCACCCATTCAAAGTTTGAGAATAGGTTGAGGACGTTTCGCCCCCAAGGCCTCTAATCATTCGCTTTACCGGATAAAACTGTTTATATCTCTGAACACCAGCTATCCTGAGGGAAACTTCGAAGGGAACCAGCTACTAGATGGTTCGATTAGTCTTTCGCCCCTATACTCACGCATGGACACCCAAGTACTCCACTCAGCACACGTCAGACCGCTACCTAAATATGCGAACCAGATTGTCTACTCAAGACACACGGAAGACTTCAACCTCATTGAGTGGGGCCAATGGGTTGGTACACAAGTTGTTTCCAGCCTCCGAATCATGGATTCGGAAACGCGTCTGGCGATGCTTGACCTCCAGTGGTGTAAAGTCGCCCCCAAGCTTGATTTATTCTTAATTAGGCCCCGATGGAAAAGGCGGGGCAAACGGGCTTTCTACCGCTGACCCAGCAAACAGAGTAGAAATGTCGTGAGAAAATTTCCGAATTCAGAGCGCACCTTTCCAATAAGGAAATTCACATTGCCATTCGTGGAATAATCTTCCTAAGACGGTTGTTCAAGCTCAGTCTATAATCCAGTTTAAAGCGTATTCAGGCACTCATTTATGCGTGCACAGACGGGTACAAGAATGCTGCTCCGCGTCGAAAAATTGAGGTGCA